TCGCATAATCTGGACCATCGTTTTACAATGATTGTTTTAAATGGCAATGATGGTAGAAGTGTGTGTTGTCGGCCGTCGCACTGTTGGATTCTGTGCCCATGTTATGACAGTAATATGGTATTTGGGTTGGGCATGGCATCAGACTAATATTTTGCCTTCTGCACAATTCCTGAATGATATATTGATTGTGTATGATACACATGATGTATTAGATCATAAAATACCTTAAAAATCAAATCAAAACTTGACTATGATATTAAGTACTTAGTTAGTTTACGACGGGCTGTTTTCCGCATCTCCACGTCTAAGCGCGAATTTTGCGTTTGGGCAAGAATAATGTAATTATGCGAGCCATGAAATCTCCCCGAAAAAGTTGAACAGTACTTTGATGATGCAAACAACTTCGGGGAGTGATCCTGGCGTGCCGAGATTTCAAGCCCTGTATGCAGCGACTTCGGGATGCTTCGACTATGTCAGAAACCCGTGGGCCGCCGTTTCTTCCTCCCCCGTACATGTCTGTAACACCTAAGGTAAATTAATGTTTGTTAAAGCAGCATGTCCTGTGATAGCACTTGTTACTATCCTGACCCATAGAATACTATAATACACATTAGAATGGCTGTCAACCTTATTTTGTACAAGGATCGGCGTCGCCGGGAGCACACATACAAGCTATTACGTCGAATTATCAGTTATCACTACTACAAACACATTTTAGACTTTTGATTAATGTTTTTGACACATAAATGTTTCTTTATTTTTGTTTCTAATATTCACAAAATATAAATAGTTTCGACTTACTGGTTGTAGTATATATCTCCTTTATTTAAATTCCATTTACGGCTGTTCTTTCGATACGTAATTATTGCACAATTTGCCATTTTTTTAATAATTTGCATGCAGCGACGCTAGACACGAAAATTGGAAACGATTGATTGTGTTGACATTTATACATGTGAATTGACGTGTTAGTGACATGTTAGTGGCTCACACGGGCTCCGCCTACTCCTCCGTTCTATTATGTATGTATTATAGTATTCTATGATCCTGACCTGTAGCTTGTTCAGTCTAATTGCAACCTTAGTTAAACGACTGTTTATTTCAGGTAGGGCCTCCCTAGCTTGTCTGTTAGTAAAGTTTCTACGCACCAGTGAATAAAAACGTTACCAAAGGGGATTGACGTTATTGGTTCCTGCCCTATAGTGGCCAGTCGATCCTCTTCTGGCCAGTTCGTCTGCTGCATCGTTGCCTATAGATTCATTTAAACAAAGATAGCTTTCAGATATTACCATCTCTCCACTATACGTACAATCCCTTGGGCCCAGGTCGCACACCATGCTTGCTGTCTTCCCAGAGACAAGTATTGTCAGGTCACCTGCATTACCTACTGTGTAGAAATTATTGGCATTTAATTTGCTGATGAGTTCATTAATGACCATATTTCACAGGAGAGGTGAAAGAACCCCACCCTGCGGGCAGCCTTTTTTATCTGAATTGTGTGAGATTTACCAGCAATCTTTAATTATTCGTGTACTGAGCATGTTTACTATCCAGTCAATCAGTGCCGGCTCAACTTTATAACTAAGTGCACCTTTTATGCTGGAGAAGTTTGTTCTGTCAAAAGCACCTTACATGTCTATGAAAGAGCCTAGACATATTACTCTGTTTTGGATAACCTCTTCAGTCTTTGTTATTATGTGGTGAAGTGTCGATTTACCTAAGCTATAGGCGTGTTGTTTTTCGTGTAGCGGTAAGTTAATTAGCGCCGACCCTCTCAAATCCCGTTCACACTTCCTCTCCATCGTCTTTAGGAGAAAGCGTTTTTAGGATCAGATTGTATAGTCGCTCTTACCTGGTTTGGGTATAAACGTGACTATCACTTCCCTCCATCCCCTAGGAACATATTTAAAAGCCCGACATGCTCCTATTATAGCACAAGTCTGACTATTAGGGCTTCCCCCCTCCCCTGTGTAAGTATCGGGAATATGCCGTCAGGTCCTCCACCTTATAGGGTAGGAAATTATGAATGGCCCAATGGATCTTCCATCCATCCATCGTTACCTCTCTGTGCTAAATTCCATTCAGTGATCATGATATTATGTTAGAAACAAAGTCATCCAAAATCCTAACAACACCATAGGGCACACTGTATGGAAAAAAGACCCATCAAATCAATATTTAAAAGGTGAATCTCACCATCATCCTTCACAGTTAGCAAGCGTGGTGGGCAAATCTTTGTTACAGAGAGCACGACGGATCTCAAGCAGGTTCAAGTTCAATCAAGCAGGTTGTGCACGACAACAAGCTTCGGGATCCGCGCTACGTCACAGTGACCGAATGAAGCCGGCCACATGCGAGTGACAACGCATCTGCATTTTGATTCATAATTGAGGATAGATGTATATGTCAATGTGGCCACAGCAACCACCTTCAGGTGGACTGTGTGCTCGTTTGTCACCCTACCCTATAAAAAAAACAACCTAAAGAGGTTGCTGGGCAAACATATGTATACAGAGTGTTAGTGTAAGCACCGTTATCCTTGAAACCAGTGGTTTGGTTTCAGTTATAGAACTTAAATTCAATGAATTAACGTAAAATCAATGAAAAAAAAATGCTATTTCCTTTCATAAAATTTAAAAAGTTTCTGTCCGACACCTTCCGTAAATTCATGGATCCCCTATGCGCCCGAGTGACGTAATCACTGTAAAGATCACCGCCCGCACTAGCTACCTACACAACATTCCAATAAAAACACAATAGGTACACATAACCTGTGATGTAACTTTTCTTTCGTACTTTAAGGACAGGCAAAAATTGAGAAATTAAGGAAAAATTGAGATTTTACTAAAAAAAAATGTTATTTTCAATGAATTTACGTTCTATAAGTGAAACCAAACCACTGGTTTCAAGAATAACGGTGTTTACACTAACAGCCTGTATACCGTATCCGTGGATAAAAATAGCAATTTCCCAAATTATGGGTAATTTTCCCTATAAATAATTAACAACACTGATCACGTGACCTGTTTTGTGTTCTAAAAATAGCACTTTAATTTAAGACATAAAATTCTCAAATAATTGATTATAATTACCGCCTTAACGAGGAAAGGTGATTCCTTGATGGTTTCTGATAAAACCACAATGATTTTTGCAAATTTTTACGACGCAAGACGGCAAATTAATTTTTGTTTTTACTTACGACTAATGGTGGTTAATATAGCGCTTAGCGCCATATTATAGCGCGCTATCTCTCCATAACACATAGCGCGTGTTATGTAAGTAGTCGCAAGGAATGCTTCGGTGGTTTGGTCATGTAGAAAGAATGAATGAGGAAAGACTGACAAAGCAAATATATGTTGCAGAAGTGAATGGAAGAGTCGGAAAGGGACGTCCTAGGCGAAAGTTTGTCGACCAAATTGGCTACATACTAAAAATGGGCCAAATTAAGAGTACCCTTAACCGACGAGCATGTATGCGTAGGTATATGAATGTAGAAGAGGCGAGAGAGGACATACAGGATCGTGCTAAATGGAAGTCTGTAGTCTCTGCCTACCCCTCTAGGTGACAGGCGTGAGTGTTTATGTATGGATGTAAATAGTAGGTTTTTATAAATACAATCAATAAACTTTTAAATACTCCTTTATTTCATTTATAATTTATATTAAGGCTAAAATAACGTTTACATTAATTACATATAATAAAAAAATAATTAATTTTATTTCGTTTTAAAAAGTACATGCCTTAAAAATATTTTTAGGATTATGGAAAGTCGTAATCCTGAAAAGTATGAAAAAGCGTTCATTGGTTTTTCTTTACCGCTATATTTTATTTTAGTCTAAAATGCGACTTATTACGAAATAATGATCTTATATAGCACGCGGTCTATTCAATGAACGACGTGTAATGTAACGTGCTACGAGATATAGCGTGCTGCAAAACTTAACGCGCTTGCCGGCCTCCTACACGCTTTCTTTCAATAGCGCGCTATAACATAGCGTATTTAATAGCGCGCTAGAAATTTATAGTTTATAGTCTGTAGCGTGCTATTGATTTATAGTCGTTTTGAACAACTTTGCTTACGACAACTACTTCTCGCGAACGACGTTTGTTGTGTGCTAGACTTATTATTATTGTGAATGTGTGTATGACCCCTTGTACGAGGAAGCCGACTTATTTTGGGTGCTTTGGGTTTGCGATCCGGACCGTCTCGTGATAGATAGTATTTCACGCAGGCAGCAAGAGTTACAGAGGCCTGCTACAAGTGTTACAGTTCCAGTTTTCATCATCAATATTTATTGCCTCTACTAAAATAGTGATACTAAATATTTATATAAATCTATGTTCAAAGGGCAAAAATTCAACATCTCTTTTGTTTTTGTATCATTGGCAGGACGAAGTTGGGAAGCTGTTTAGTGAAAATTGCACTGAATACAACGAAGGTCATCTCTTTTTTTTTGCTTAAGTTTCGGGTTGGATACGGCGGTACGGTACGGTACGTACCTTGAGCACTGAGAGACCATGCTAGTTATACTATAAATCTGATAGAAATTTTTATTTCCGTTCCCAACTAAGTAAAAAATAAAATAGATGTTCGACAAAAATGGAAATAAATCGCAGTGGTCACACTAACCACTATTTCCAAAGAATTTACATAATGTGATAATCTTAGTTAATAGGTTATCAATATACTTTCGAAGTTCTCTATATATAGTAGAAAACTCCTACAAAATGGTAAGAACACCTTATATTCCTTTCGTTAGGGCGCTTTTAGTGTCACGCGGATTTGCTCACGCACGCGGGATTGGACCGCATGCGTAGCATCCGCAAAGAACAATTTCATATAGGTATCTATTGTAAAGCGTGATAAACGCACGCGGGACGCGGGGCGCTGTGCGGGGCGTCACCCCGGTGCGGGGTATCCGCATGCGTAAGCGCTGCCTACAACTTCAGTGCCCATTTTAGAGTCGAGCGGGGCGCACGCGCCGTATTGTACTACCGAAATGAAAATCGATACAGAACGAGTAATCATTGAAGTTCATCTGCGGCCCGTTTTGTGGGATAAACGCAATGAATTATACAAACACAGGGACGCGAGGGAGGCTGCATGGAGAGATATTTTGAAGGAATTGGCACCTAACTACGAAAATTTGAGCGAAGAGGAAAGAAAAGAGGCGGGTATGTGTTTGGTTCATTATTTTATTTATACAAGCATCATTACTTTATTAATATAAGCATAATTATTTAATTCACAAATAACATCAAAAACCTTCTAAAACCTTTTGAGTTTAGTTAATTAATTATATATAGGTGTTGCCAGGAGACTTTTCCTTCATTGATAAAGTAATCTGGCAAATATATCTCTGATATTACTTGCCGACGTATTACTACTTTCAGTCTGCTGCCTGGGTAGTGGTCCCGTAAAACCATTTGTGACAAATGTATGGCTGACCTTGTAGCCATCCCGTTTCCTTATGAAATTGTGAAGTACACATGCCGTCTTGACTATTAATTGTGCTAGATCTAACTTGACATTCATGGATCTGTGAAATATTCTAAATTTATTTGACATAATTCCAAAAGTGCATTCTATGTACCTTCTAGCTCTGGACAGACGGTAATTAAATATTTTCTTTTTGTAAGGTAAATTATCACGAGCATAAGGCCGCATCACATGTGATGATAAACCAAATGCCTCGTCTCCCACTATCACGAACGGCAACTTTGCTCTTACACTAGATGGATAAGCTACTTCGGGGCAAATAATAGGCAACTCTTGCGGGTCAGGGATACCCAACGTGTATTCATATTCAGACTTTAGTTCAATCCATATTATGTAACAAACTTGTCTTACTATTTCGCTAATTGTTGCAATTCCAATCACATAGGAATAGTGTAGATCAGTGAATGTATTACCAGTTGCCAAATATCTGAAAACAAAAACAATATATTAATAATATGATAACATAATATATTAATAATGCTGACATCAGACATAAGACAGCATGCACCGCTCGAATTTTACTTCAGAAGAAAAATAAATACCCTTAAGGTGAAAGGGCACGGAAGTAGCTAGCGCTAGAAGTTTTTAATTCGTTTTAACTACAGTACTATAGCTACGTTAGATTTCTATGATTTGCCGAAAATTTTATCATAGGGGGGTATTTATGCAGTTATGATTTCATATGAAAAGTTCGAAGTATAGTTATGTATCTCATATCTGCTAAAAGTGGCCACTTTTAGCAGATTTGAGACACATAACTATGCTGTAAATATTTTATAAGAAATCTTCTCTGTATAAATTAACCCCTATGGTAAAATTTCCGGCAAATGAAAGGAATCTAATAAATATATATAATATAATATAATGAAATATCGTTTATTTCAGGCAATATTTACATTACAAGATGTCCTCCTTCATGAAGGTTGACAGATGCAAATAAAGCAAATTTTTGTTAAAACAAATTAAAAACTTACAGCGCTAGTGACTTCCGGAAGTTTTCACCTTAATTTTGATGATGGCAAATTTTACTGTAACAAATAAACAAATTGCCCGATTCAATCCGGTGTTTTTCCAAAAATCCTTAAATGAAGTTCTAATTATTTTTGTAAAAAATGAATTATTTCGTCGATGTCTGCGCCGCGCCGCCCCGGCCGCGCCGTCTGCGTCTAGTATAAGATTCACTTTGCGCTATCGTTCGCGGCGAAATTGACCGGCCTGCGCCGGCCCGCCGTTTGCGTTGCGCCTAAGGGTACTTTTCCTTCAACTGCGGCCTTATTTTTCCACTCTGTATAGGTATATATATATTGCTTGATTTATCTAATGCTTCATGAGACAGTGTAAAGTTGACAACATGTGTGAATTAAGGAGGGCCTTTAATCGAATGCAGTTAAATTTCCAACTAATATCAGATTTGTACACACGGCCACAGATCAAGCTTCCCAAAACCAGTATAAACAGGACTCATGCGTTGTTTATTATCGTAGACGACTCGGCGCCCGGCGAGGCCCTAGCAAGTTCCGTTTATTGGTACTGGTTTTGGGTAACTTGATCTGAAACTGTGTGTACTTTTGCCACTTACTTATTATATTTTGTCATTTCAGACAAGAAAATACAACAACGCTGGCGAACAGCAAGGGACACTTACCAGAAAGACAAGATATCTGAAAAAATCAGCCATCCGGCTCTGGGAGTAAGAAGAAGAAGAAGAAATATTCTTACTATGACATTTTGACTTTCTTAGACAGTACAACGGAAACTGCTGGAGAAGAGTCACTCTGTGAAGAAATGTCTGAACAAAGTAATTTAGAAACACCTAATGAGTCCACGCAACCAGATACTTCACGTCAAGAAAGTTCTCACCCAACATCAAAACAAAAACAAGTAAAATCTAAAAAGCAAGCACCATCTGAATTTGAGGCACAGTTATTAGAATGCTTAAAGTCTAATCAACTGGAGCTAGAAAGTGAGGATTTGGCTTTCTTTCAGTCTCTGCAGCCTTCATTAAAAAGATTCACTAGATATCAAAAACTAATGTTCAGAACAAAAGTGTTAAATATAGTTATGGAAATGGAAAGTCAAACACAACCTGCATACTACAGTCCCATACCTACAACAAGTTCTAGTGCTTTTACTGAGCTTGACAGTTTGTCACCGATAAATCAAGATTACCAAACCAATAGTATAATCCAGGATACTTCGAGTCTTAACGACAATGCTATTAGTTCTGCTGCAGTGAATGACAATGAAACTCTTATTTCGACTGAAAGCGGCCTGTTTAATATCACGTCTTATGACGTAATTTATACCCCAGCAACAACATCATCTACAGGCGAAAGTAATGTCAACGCTCAGGATACAAATTTACAAAGAAATGAATGATGTAAAATTTGATTTTTTAATTTATGAATAAAACTCTTTTTATTAAAATGAGTACGATTAACTTTTTTTCTCCAGTTTCTCTCTAATTGTTTGTTTAGTCATATGAGTGCGGTTGTACACACGGCACAGATCAAGTTACTCAAATCCAGTATAAGCGGGACTCCGACGGGTTACCTAAGTATGATAATACGCAAGGCGCGAGTTCCATTTATGCTGGTTTTGGGTAACTTGATCTGTGGCCATGTGTACTTTATCAGATAAAAAAAAGGATTGTGTATGTAGGTTGAACGTACCAATCCCAAACCAATTAAGGACTTTTTTTGACTTTAAATTACTGTCATGTGCAAACCTATAACTTTTATCTATATTATAATAAGTAGCGTGTGATGAAAGGTAGGAATGATTCCACTTTAATGGCGACATTTTATGAGTGAAATAATCTTATTTAATGAAATTTCAACATGAAATTGAATGAAATTATGAACAATGAAATTTCAGAGTACATGACAAAATTTTTTTTTTGCACATGTAAATTTACACATGACAGTAATTTGAAGTCAAAAAACGTTTATCCTACCTGTTCAAATCCCTTTCCACTAAATCATAGCAGGAAATTAAATATTTAAAATTTAAAACTTACCTTAATGTAATAGCGAGCCTCTCAATCGGTTGTATTGTAATCCTTCGTAAACTGCTTTTTTGTAGCTTATTCTCAATTTTACACAACAGTTCATCAAAAGAACGAATGGACATTCGAAAGTAATTTTTAAATTTACGTTCATTATTTTGTAGTTTTCCAAAGCGTGTAACAAACGCCCCAGCAAGAAGCCTATTTTCAAGAAAGGGATCAACATGTACTCTTGTCTTCTTGTTTCGTCGTTTGTAAAGTATGTAAGCGACACATATTCTTCTGACATTGATCATTTTTGAACACGTCTATACCGTTACGCAGCCCGTAGAAAACTGAAACTCATGCTGCGTATGATCCGCAGCGTGAAATTTTACGCATGCGGTCCAATCCCGCGTGCGTGAGCAAATCCGCGTGACACTAAAAGCGCCCTTACACAGCACACAATATGTCTGGAGACGTGTAGAATGAGGAACCAGATTTGAGAGTAGCTGTATTAAAACTGCGCCAATATTTAGCTCTATTTGCTTTTTTACAAAATCCGTTAAGACTTCCACTAAAACCTTAACGGGTAAAAATTTCTAGATAGATAATTTAGTTAAGGGTATTACAAAAAAAACGCGAAATTACAAGGTTTCCTCGTTGAAATTATATGTTTTCCGTTTGTAGCTTGAAAAAACAATTACTTGGTAAAAATATTTCGTTTTCTCTACTACAATAAGCTCGAGGCTTGAACAATACCACGAAAAAGGTAAATCGACATAATTCAATTATCTACCAAAAAAGCTTCGATACAAGCCCCAATATCTCCGAAGTTCTTCATAATTTTGACGTAAAATTTATACCAAAAAATCATCAACATTTGCTTAAACTATACTATGATTTTTGCTTTTAAATCGTTACTATTATTTTTAATTAATTAATTTCTCTGCGTCGGCCATCTGAATGATCTGAATTCACTACCGCACCAGCGGCTCGAGGTCGGACCTGTGAAAATTTATTTCGCGCGCTCCGTCTCGTTTCGATCTTATCGTAGTGTGCGTCGATGACCGTGGCTAGCGTTACCAGACGTCCCGATAAAGCCGGACACAATCAGGCTTTTTGGTTGCGTGTCCGGCCAAGTTGGACGGTATCTCTCTAGCTTTTGTTAAGCTTTTTAAATTTGACTATTTCTTTACATTTTTCATATACTTACATACATACTATATTATATTGCAATTATTGAAATTAATATTGTAATGAATATTGAATAATTAATAATAAAGACGACTGATTTATTCAATTGTTGTTATTTCGTTAGAACTTTTTTTGATTTGATTAGATTGATTTTACGGTAAATGATAAAAAGCATTTTTTTGCTTAAAAAAATGTCTTTTACCAAGACAAAAAATAAAGGTGGTCCGGCCTTTTTACCAAAATGTCCGGCTAAGCTCGCTTCTATCCGGCTTTTCGGTTTTAAGACCTGGCAGCCCTAACCGTGGCGCTGCTAATTTGTGCTAGAACATCGTCAACTACGCCCGCAATTTTGAATCGTTGGAATAGTGTGTCCAGTGGCAGATTTCAAATTTTGAAGACATAAAAAAACTACACCTTTTTATATTTACGCGAACACTACACATTGAAATAATACTAGTTTTTACGGAATTTATCGCGTATATTTAACTTTTAAATACCCGACGTTTCGAACGCTTTACAGCACTCATGGTCACGGGCAGGACTGAGATGTTCAACGTCCATATGTCATAGTGAAGCGCGCTTCAAGATTGAAGATTGGCTACATCTTGAAGCGCGCTTCCATCAAAACATACTTCAAGCCGCTGAAGAAGATTGGTCAGTTTTTACCATCGGTCAAGTGTAATGTCCCTCTGCAAGATGCAGGAGTGTACAAGCTTGATTGTGAATGTGGTCTCTCCTACATAGGACAAACTAAAAGATCAATAAAAACCCGCGTTAGAGAACATATAGCTGATGTGAAGAATCGACGCTCCGGGAAGTCTGCAGTCTGTGAACACGTACAGGATCGCCCCCGTCACTACATCATATTTGATAGACCGCAGATCCTCGCTAAAGAACACCGATTCCTTCCAAGGATGATTCGCGAGGCTATTGAAATCAAAAAACATCCTAATTTCAATAGAGAAGATGGCTGGGTGCTACCATCTGCTTGGGATCCTATAATAAATAAAATTAAATCCCAACCCAAGAATACAACTGCAAGACTTCAAGATACCATAAGTTCATACTGCATAGATCGGAACAAAAGTTAAATTTTAATCTATGGTAACCGCGGTTAACTATGACATATGGACGTTGAACATCTCAGTCCTGCCCGTGACCATGAGTGCTGTAAAGCGTTCGAAACGTCGGGTATTTAAAAGTTAAATATACGCGATAAATTCCGTAAAAACTAGTATTATTTCAACTACACCTTTAATACAAATTACACTTATTTTAATATTAAGACAACATATGCGGATTTTATTTTTTGAATCGACCCTGACACACTCCTTGAGTCGATCGATCACGCATGTTTTCAAAAACGCGTTTACACAGCGACTTGGGAATTCTGCTAATTTCTGCTCGAATATTTTCTTTAAGTTGTGTCACAGTGTTCGAATTTGTTTTGTAAACGACAGATTTTAAGTATCCCCAAAGAAGTATCACACGAAGTTAAATCTGGTGACCTAGGCGGTCATGGTATGAGAAATGTTTTTTCCAGGAAATAACTGCCGCATTTCATTCATCGACACACCAGCAGTATGAGCTGTAGCCCCGTCCTGCTGAAACCACGTGTTTCGGTTGAAATATGAAGTGTTCCGCAATTGTAGTCCAAAAACATTATTCATCATCTCAGCATATCTAATCCACTGTTACAGTTTGGCCACGTTGATCGTCAAAAAAATACGGCCCAATCATGACAGCAGACATTGCACACCAGACTGTAACTTTAGGTTTATGTAAAGGCTCTTGATGCATTTGTCTTGGGTTGGAAACATCCCAATAATGAAAATTTTGTCTATTTACATATCCTCCAATGTGGAAATGGGCTTCGTCACTAAAGAATATGTTATTCATCCGAGTAGCGGTACGAAATTTCAACAACATCATTTCCGCATATTTTTTCTTAATTCAAAGTCAGAATCGTTTAAATCTTGAACAATTTAAATTTTGTACAGATGAAACTTGAGTATTTTTCACATTATAACCTGTAAAGTTCATTTCAAGTTCAAGATTTTCCTCAGTAGCTACCGTTGGTTTTGGTCCCGGTCTGGATCTATTTAATGCTGATCCTGTAGCTCTGAACCTTGCTACCCAAGACTGAATGAGGTTGATCGATGGTCCATCACGTAATCGACGAATACCGTAACGAGTATTAAACCGACGGCGTGCTTCAGACAGCGAATAACCACTCGAAATGTACGCCTCGGCGGGAAAAGCGCAGTGCTCTCCACTTCACTGCTACTAAAAAATCCGCAGTGCTTGCGCTTCTAACAAACTTCTCCGCGCCCCTCTCGCATGTTGCGTTCGGAAACTAGGTTTATTCAAACTTTAAAAATCTGCCACTGGACATCCTGTATTTCAATTAGTATAAAGTTTGCAAATTATTATTATACCACATAGCTAACTCATTATAGTTATTTTGATTGTAGCTGAGTTTTCTTACCAGTCAAAATGGCGAAAACTCAATACAAATATCAATGTCATCACTAAAGGTAAAAAAAATATCCTATCTCTGGAGAAAAATAATGGAGAATAAATATATCTGCATGCTTGCCGTATGGACTGGCCCAGATTATGCAGTATAAGTACTAAAAATCTACAAAGACAACAAATTTTGGATTTTGAATATGTTACCCAAGTTACAAGTGTTTTATAAAAAGTGTGTACTGCCAGAAATTCTTGACTCGAGATAAGTTCGGTCAATGCTGTTGCGGCAAATATTTTTATAATAAAAATATGGTAATTGCCTGTAAGTACCGATTAAAAAAATATTCTTTCTTTAATCGGTTCTTCTAGTATCTCCTCTTAAGAAATTTTCATTAATGTAGGTATAAAAACATTGTGTGAACTGAGGGACCACAGTTTAGTTATTTCTTTTATCTATAACACTTTGTGTCTTGTTACTGAGTAATATAATCTTTACAAATTCTTTACTAAATATCTGTAATCACATTGACTTCATTTTTAAGACTTCCAGAGAACTTGCTGATAGACTGTGGCAACTGAGGGACCACACTTTAAGGGCTGTAACTTTTTATATGTTCTTCTACAAATTTCAAGATTCGTTCTACAATTGTTTAAGGCATACTACTAAAAACTTCATTTTGCCTATTCCCAGCTTGGTCCCTCAGTCCTCACACACATGTATGGTTTGTGAGAACTTCTTTGTCTAAAACTAAAGTAAAAACTAATATATCTTTGTATATAATTTTTAGTAGAAATTTTAATTGTTAAAATAAAAAAATAAGATCTAAAAATATATATGAAATAATATAATACCTGTGTAGATTTTAAATAATTTTGAAACTTATACCATATATTAATTATTATACACTTTCGCTTTATTCTTTGAAGAACAATATATACATAAGTAATATAAACAGACATGCATAAGAACTTTCACATTTACTCGATATCGTCTTCATAATAAACTCTATCGTTATCAGAATCATTATAAAATTCACCACTTGTATCATTGTCAGATTCATCACTTTCAGATTCTGATCCACTTTCAATTTCTATGTCATATACAAAAAATTTGTTTGCATAACATGTGTTACTGTTAGGGACAATTAATATCTCATAGCTGCTTTTCGCTATCTCTTTGTTATTATATGGTATGTAACACACTTTATGTGACGGTTGTACTTTTCCTGGTATAAGATGGCCCTCATGTGCAGCACGGCCCACATAAAGTTGTTCACGACCATCATCTTCCGAATAGCCACCAACTACTGCACCAACTGGTATTTTATTTACACGACTGGGGACCCATATGCAATTGTACCCACAAAGCACCTGAAAATTGTTAACATATTAAAATGTAAGAAAGAATTCTAAGCAACTGAATCTCAGAGTTCAATTAATTTTGTAATAATTTTATGTTTGCTTAAAATTATTTAGTATAAGCAGTAAATATTTTTACTTTTCACTTTCATAAATAGTGCCTCCCAACAGATAGGTCTTAAAATGACCCATGAATACATGTCATGCTTGAAGTTGTTGAAGAGTATGTTTACCAAGAACAAATTGACCAACTAAAATTAAACTAAATTTTAGGTACGCATCCAACATTATATATTCATACAACAGGCTCCTGGTCAGCCACTGCATGCTATTTCACTTGAGAATGCCACGTGTAGAGGAGGCCAAACACGTGTCGCATTATCGACGGTGGTGTGTCTTTCCTAGTGTAGTGTAGGTGTAGGTAAGACACAATTTTATTTTATAACGAGGATCTCAGCGAAAAGGGTATTTTACCCATTTTCAAAAATTGTTTTAAATGAATCCAAGTGATAATGGACCACTATAATTTTTATATAATTTTTTTTTTGAAACAGAAACAGAAACTTTTTTATTCAATGTAGATTATAAACAATACTTATTGCAAGTCAATTTTTTCATTTACCACTGGTTCGCAAAAAAAACCTCTGTCCTGGGAAGAACCAGCAATTTTTCAAATAATAGCTTACAATCATGATTACAATTAACAACACAAGACAAATTAGAAATAGCTTAGTAGCGATCACCCTTTTTAAACCGAATAGTGCCATAAATATTACTTTTAATCTATCGTTTTAAATTTTCGCGTAAAAAGCTAGCCGCCATCTTGTGTAACTCGTGACGTCACAGTCGTCGATTCTGACGATTTTATAAAGGAATAATATACTTTTTAATGTATATTATGCTTGAATGCAAAAATACGAGCGTTAGAACGCCGGGAAAGTTATGAATTCAAGTGGTAAGAAGATACCCAAATACATTGTCTACATAAACCAGACTATTCTTCTGTGAAGATCATTTTGATATACTTATGTTTTATATTTAACTATCGTTTAATACAAAAAAGGGTATCAAATTCTGTAATAAATTACGTTAACTTAGATATTATAACTAATGATTGTAATTACAGATAAACCAAACTATGATAGCAACTAAACTATTTTTTATCAAAATACACCCTCACTTGAGGGTCTAGACAAGTGGCATTCGCTCCGTGTTTAATCCATATCGAAAATAGATTTTGTCTTAGCGATATCATACTTAAAGTGGTAGACAAGGTGACATAACGCTAAATCGATGCGTTCATTCGATAAAAATCTACTTCTTGGCTATGGTCTCGAAATGAAATGTCAAATTCAACACGTCAACTGTGTCGACCGGGCGCGCTAAATATAAACAAAACATACTTGATAACTTATTAAAGTAAAGTTTACTTGGTGAAAGTGAAGTCATTGGTGTTAAAATTAACTAATTAACTTAATAATTCAAAGGTAAGTTCCTTAACTGCGTCAATTAATTGTGAGTGCTAAAATTAAACAAGTTTTTTGGATATCAATAGTTGTGAATATATTACATATTTATAACGATAAACAAGCGGGAACTGACTGTTCTTTTTTTCATTTTTAAAGTGATTATAATGGAACCACGAGTGCGAGCTAGTGGTGAACAATTCTCGACCCTTTTGGAGTTCTTGGAAAGGTAAGGATTTATTCAACTAAACCATGAACTTGATTAAATTCAAATGACTTGAGAATGCTCCATGTAAACAATGACGTGATCCTAACAATCAGTTGCTTATTGTCCTATTCTTAGTTCAATTACAGTCACGGCGATCTATCAAATCCCCGAAGTGGGCCTCAAGAACGCTTGAAATCCGAGCGGCTGTGGTGCGCGTTGGCAACAATATTGAACTCAAAACTCAATCGATGCTGGAGTAAATAAATCGGCAGACAAATGAAAAAAGATAACAATTGAACAGCTATACAATATGTAACATAATTAACGCACACCCTCAGACACCCCAATTAGTATATTATGTTATAATCATAATACATACACTGAATTTTTAGTTAAACATTTTTATGCACTGATTATTTATCAAATTAGTTATACTAATTCCGGAAGAATGTTGTGGTCACAGTACAAATCCACAAACGCAAAGACTTTAACGTGCTTGAAATAAAGTTCATTTTTCTTTATTTTTATTGAATAACAGGATTAGTAATAATACAAATAAAACTGCACTCTTAAAAGTCTTATTGCCTTAAGTTACGGTCCATTTCAGTTTGTTTTGATTGTACAGATTTAGTGTGATTTTCGTAGTTTTAATTATTTTTGGGATAAAAAATTACCCATATTAAAAATGATAGGAATCGATTCAGTAAACGATTCTGAATAAACTACTTTCTCAAAGTGTGCGTTAATTATGTTACATGTTGTATATGGTCATAATCACTTTATGCTTTACTTTGTCTAAATTAACCACCTACTATTTATTATACACTATTACTCATTACTTAACTTTCCTACATATTGCTTAATTCATTTCGAAGGTTTGGGCAGACTGGAAGTCAAAACAAACAAAAACATCGCTAATAAGGCGTCATGCAAGTGGTACTGGTGGTAGGCCAATTAGACGCCAAAACCTCACGAATATTGAGGAGAGGGTATGGGTTCTCATGGACTGTGGAGAGTCAATTCAGAAGCAAGACTTCACAAGTAGCGTTGCAAGTATTTCACTACTTCGTTTAAAATTCAGGGTTAACTGATCACTTGAATATTTAAAAACGTGCACCTACTCATGTCATTAAATGAGTAATGTCACTAGAGGTTTTTTATAAAAATGTTATGGTTAAGGGGATAGAGTAAGTCAGCTCAAATTCTAATTTTGTCCCCACTTGCCCGCGGGTCGTATGCTATGTAACGACATGTTTATAATCACTAATAATGTAAGTAGAAAGGTCGTTAGACACTTATTTCATTAGGTTTATCATATTTATGCCTGTTTCTTAACGCCAAGCCCGTCGCTTCTTATATTTTATTACGGTTATTTCCCATTTTAATTTTAAGTCGTCCTGGTGCGTAACGTATATTCTGATCGTAAGCGACACAACCTCCCCGTTCAAAGGCCGAAGCGAAGTGACCGTGCGGCAAGAATCACGCTTCAAAAGACCGATAGTTTAGGTAATTTCTTTTTACAGTGACAATAATGGTATTTTAAAAAAAAGTAAATAACATAAGCACTGCTTTATAGTTAGTTCAGTTAGTATGCAAAGTTTCATGATCTTACTTTAAAGTATTTTATGAATAACAGCGGTTTATTGTTATTTGAGTACTTTATTTTTTTTTTAAATTTTAAAATAATCCATCTCAATACCATATTCATATTAATAATTCCCCTTATAAGATTTAAAGTAATTTATTCCACCATCCCATCGCCAAACGCCCTAGTCTACCACTCCCTGGCTACACACCAACAAGATGTCAATTGATTCGATTGATCGCAACAGCCGATCGTATGTTTATCTACATCTAAATATTTTATAAATACTTTATTAACGAATTCTTTTCTAAATTCATTTTTTGCAGAATCTGTGGCAATATTGCCACCCGCGCCTGCTACTCCTACTCCATCTACTAGCTGGTAGCCACCGCACACAAACACTTTCACACAGACATCAACATTATACAATCAATCTGTGAGAAGGAGTTCAAGTGTGCAACCTGCACCTTCTACCTCTCCGCCAACCAGCAGGCGACGGTTACCATCAACCCCAGATCTGGGGTAACGGCATCCCCTGCACGGAGGACACTAAGTACACTCGCGCCATTCGATACAGCGACAAGTGAGTTCGTTGCCATCGAACATCTACGTCTTCAGCAGGAGGAGAAACGAGGCAGGCAGGATAGAGGTTGACCACGAGCGTAATCAAGTGTTACGCATGTTTGCAAACATTAAACATTCATGGTTTGACTACTATCGGAGTAAAGACATACAAATACAGAGCAATTAGATCATACTCCATAGGTACGAAATTCATCACGCCTGAATTCTATGGAAGGCTAGGTAGAATTGTACTGTACACCCACATTTCGCCAATTATGTTACAAGTCCCATGTAACAGGGGGTGAGCCTATTGTCATTATCCGGACACAAATTCAGCCTCCAAGCTGCTACTGAGAAATTTCTAATGAAAAAACCCAATAACACTGCCCGACCCGGGGATCGAACCCGTGACCTCACGCTTAGATATCGGCTACTATTGAAATTCGTCCGTAAAAACTAGTTTAACATAATGTTAGAAATACTGTATTTTTAACTGCTTAAAAGATTTTTAAATTTAGTACTTATTGGATTTTTTTTATTCAGATTCCAAGCTACTACTGAGAAATTTTTAATGAAAAAATCCAATAACACTGCCCGACCCGGGGATCGAACCAGCGACCTCACGTTTAAATATCGGCTACTATTGAAATTCGTCCGTAAAAACTAGTTTAAGATAATGTTAGAAATACTTTAGTTTCAACTGATTTAAAGATTTTTTAATTTAGTACTAATTGGATTTGTTTTTAGTACTGATAGTATTTTAAGTTTATTAAAGGTCATTTATTTAGTAAATGGTTAAGTGTATGTAGAGTAGTTATTATTAAGTTATTATTCAAGTAGGTCCAATAAAATAAAGGAGTTGGTTAAATTATAGAATTATAACATTTTCTTTTGACGATTTTTTATTTTAATAACACATACAGAATGGGTGAGCTGCGAGTGTGTAGACTATACAAAGATGACGGCTGAAAGAGTATGAAAGGAAAGTGCCATGTACGCCACTAACCCCAATCAAGTTAGGACAAGCACAGGTGAATGATGACACCCAAAAAGAAATATTTAAAATGTCGCTCTATAAATGTAGTCTGATTTATTAATTGATAGATCAATCCCACCAAAAACGTAACAACCAAAAAATGCAAGTCTCGCAATGGAATCCTTCTATCACAAAAAGTTGCGAGATCTACCTAATATACAAACATTGTAAGCTAGTAAAAAACTTGTAAAATGAATGGTCACATTACGTTAATTTTACTTTTTTAATTGTAAGTTTCCTAGTCCAACCAAGCAACAAATTAAGCATTTAGTAAAATGTTATACATTAGTATTTTCATGGGGATTCATGGGAAGAAGTTTTTAATATTGCACAAGAAGGTTTAATACCGTCTGTCAGTGGCTAGCCATAAATTCACTTTCACTTAATGTTGATAAAACCAAATATATATTACGTTTTCGATTCGAAAATTACCAAAATATATTAGCAATTATAAAATTATAGCTCATTCATGTTTTCAATTTCCTAGTTCAAACCGCAACTGCTAGTTAATATAATAAATACACAAGAAATTAAATATTTAGGAATAACAATCTTAAATTCAAAGCACACATAAGAAATTTAACCCAAATAGTCAAAAAAATTTACTTACAATTTTAAAAACTTAAGACATGTCACAAACTGGATATTGCTAAAAACTGTTTATATATCATTGTGCCAATCTATATTAACCTACGGTATTACTGTTTAGGGAGGTTCCAAAAAAACACACATGCTTGAAAGATTGTGTTATGGGGTACTCAGCGGTGTACATATGTGGATATTGAATCTTCAGAGAAAGTTCCATATCCTACACCTTCATTTGTATTAGGGCCATCCGTGAAAACTCTAAGCTCTATTGGAATTAATCCCTCCGGCTGGCTAGTTTCATTTAATTGTGTCCTTATACTTCTTATCGAATACAAATTGCTTGGGGATCTTATCATACTGATGTACGATAGGAAGTTTAAATAAATTCTATCAATTACACTGGTATGAGGGACTCTACTCTTACTCCAAAGATTAAGGTACTTGAGTCTAATGGCAGCTAAAGTAGCTTCTTGTTGTATGGTGAGTGTAAATAACCGAAGACCCTTTTTGCTGGCAACGAGGCATTCCATCTAAGTCAACACATCAACACAATGACAACACAAGAAATCTGCTTTTTGATTCTTAATCGAGGATAAATGTAGATGTCTAAGGGCCACAGCATCCACTTAGACTCAGGGAGACCGTTTGTTTATCACCCTTTTGTGTAAAATAAAAATAAAAAATAAATAAAATAAATTATACTCAGGTTGTTTGCAGTGTGTATTATGATATAAAATGTGAGCCGCAATATGCAATACAAGGAAATTATAATTACCTCAAATTCACTTTTTTCATTCGCCTCACCACCCCAAGGTATAAAACCAAGACCTAATGATGGAACAAACTTGCCAGGGGTAAGTGAACCCCTATGTGGTGCTCTTATTATATACAGTGCTTCTTTTTCATAACCACCAATTATTGCTCCATCTGGTAATTGATGATCAGCTGGAAGCCATTGTGGCTCACCACCCATCAGAGTTTTCAACTTTGGTTTATTCAACATTGGTGGTACTGAAAGATATAAATTAAAATGTTTTCTATATGGTTTTATGTTATTATGCTAAATTTCTGGTAACTGTTAAGTTCAGCCATGCCACAGAATAATTTGAAAACAAAATGGGGTAGGTATTCATTATGCAGAATTTACCATCATTTATTCTTGAAATATGCAAGACAAAAAAGTCATTATTAAATAAATATACACACCAGATATATTCTTATAAAAAACAAAAGTGAACAAAATTAATTCTGCTTAATTATTTATCACATTCGGGTATTATTACATTCACAAACATTTACAATATAGGTATTATTAATATTTCCTCAGTAGTTTGTTTTATGTATGGCCTACATATAATTGTTACTGGTCTGCGTTATGCACATGTGCAATTGGAGTAAGTAATATGCTTATATAATACATAAGGAATAGACGAAAAAAAAAGTAAAACTAACATTCAAACTTCCAATGTACAGGATTTCTTGCTCTTCTTGTTCTTACATCAAATGTAATGTAATTTAATCCTGGAACTTTATTGGCATATACAATTATTGGAGTACTGTCATCTCCACGACCAAGCCTTATAAAGCTTCCATTCCATGAGATCCAAAATTTTCGATATTCTTCTGCACTGAGAATACCAGGAGTATGAACCTTTTTTCGAGGTTCAATTCCTCTCTTTATATAACTGTGTGGATGATTACTTATAACAATCTGAAATTGTCATTTTATAGTAAAGAAAATATATGTTGAATTATTTATAAGTTGACTGTAATAGACAAATCCAAGAAAATATTTTGTACCTGTTACAACATAAAGCAAAATAATACGACAACACACAATATCCATTAGCATGTTCACACTGTGCCCTTTTTTGTTCATCAACTTACCGCCGCTCATGAACAACTGCAACACCAGAGGAATAGCAGATGCGTTGCTGGCCTTTTAAAAAGGAGTAGGCTCTTTTCTTGAAGGTTCCTAAGTCTTATTGGTCGGGAAAAATCTTCCGTGGTAGTCGATTCTACAAGGAAGTTGTGTGTGCGAGGAAAGAAAACTACTTTTAAATCGCACAGTGGTGGCCGATCAAGCCGATCAGTAAGAGCTCGGTCGCCGACGATTCGAACGGCTCTGCGCTGGATGAAATCAAATGGAGGAGCTGGCACTGGGGATCCCCAGCCCAGAGATGTGAACAGTATTCAATATGCGGCCGAACCTGCGCCTTGTAAAGTTGCAGGCGATGTGCCCGCATGAAATACTGTCCGTCTCTGCTGAGCACGCCAAGCTTTTTAGAGGCCAATTTGGCCTTCTCTTCCAAGTGACCACGAAACTGCACGTCATTCGATATAACCACGCCGAGGATTCCGATTCTGGCTGAGGCAACAAGGGGAGTGCCTTGAAACTGAGGAGATACGACGAAGGGGTTCTTTTAGCGGTAAACGCGCAGACTTGTGTCTTTTGGGGATTGAACTGGACTAGATTTATTTGCTCGGCTTCGGTCTCGGCTTCAGACACAAGTTTGTTGCGAGACGAGTTGACGCTCCGATCTGCAAGAAAATTGGTGATCTAATTGCACAATTCGGGAATCTCGGGAAGCCCATAGGAAGGAAGCTTCGTAAGTAGCGCTTGTGCCAAACCCCATCCTTCCTATGTCCAAACTGATGGCCAAATCTGACCTTTGGACTCTATTGACTCCATCCATCCATGAGTTAGGTAACCCAGAAGATCACTTGCCGAGCAACCCGGACAGGAACCTTACTGGTGGTCACTAATCAGCAGGTGATCCCCAAGGTACCTCATGAGCTGACACTTTATAATGGATTCCATTATTTTGGACAAGAAGACGGTGATAGCGATAGGCCTGTAGTTAGACGAATCTGAGCAGTCGCCTTTTTTAGCGATTGGGTGCACTAAAGCTGACTTCCATAATTTAGTGACTACGCCTACCTACTTAGCCGGTGCCAACTCCTGAGCACACGTCTTTATCACAACAGGAGTGACGCCATCAGGCTCTCTCGACTTGTTAACGTCCAAGCAGAGGAAAGCTCTGCGCACTGAGCGCTGGGTAAACAGCATATCCTGCATGGAGCACTTGCACCGCGGGATGGTCGGCAGTGTGATCCCTCTGTGATCAAGAGTCGAGTTGGACGCAAGGGGAGAGCCTAGCAGTTCAGCTTTGTCTTTTGCGGTATGGGCCAGTGAGTCGTCCTCCCTGTGCAGAGATTGGAGAGGTGGTTGACAGAAATTCCCTTGGATAGCCTTGGCGAGAGATCAGAATGCACACGTTCCCGAAGGAAGTCGAACTAGTTTCTAGCCAATTACGCCGATGAGCCCTGACTTTGCCTTGGCAAAAACACTTGAAGGACCTGGAGGCAGTATTATACTTCTTTTTAAGAGCGCTGGTATTTGCATTCCGAGACGCCGATGCGTCAGCCCAGACCTAGTAGCACTCCTGCTTATAGCGGCATGATGCAATTTTGCAGGAGCAACCAAACTATGGCTGGGATCTGCTTCCGATAGGTACCACATATGATGGAATAAAAAGTTCCATTGCCTGTAGCACCACATCAGCGACAGAATCAAAAACAATGCTGGGATCATCCAGTGAGAGGCAAGACCGCCCAGGGTAGGACGCAAAAAAAGATCGCATCCCGTTCCAATTGGCTGACCTATACTGCCAAACATGGCGACAACCTGCAGAACTCAACCGTCATTGGAGCGTGAGTGGCACCATACTCCGGATCAGACAATGGCTCAAGGAGCCAAGAGAGGCATCGACGGAGATCCATCCAGTTGCGAGGTCAGCAGAAGGTCCAATAGGAAAGGTACATGATCTTCCACAAGACCACATAATGTCACCTAAGCAACTAATCAATGTGGGGACAAAAAAAAACTTCAGCCCAGGGCACAAAGGAGTTCTAGACTAGAAGGAGACCCCGACTAGGAGGGATACAAAGTGTCAGCCGGAGAGAAAACCTGTATTTTGGTTAGAAAAAGCAAGGCCGGCTTCGCACGATGCTAGTGGTTTGAATAAAGTGCCCTGATGTTGCAGAAATTTACAGATAGCGTAAAAGGGGCGCACCTTTGTCTTATTGCTCCATTTGCTCTGAGCAGGTTTAGTCTCAAGCGGAATTTTGCACCCGCCAGAATATGCAGGGTAGCTTGAGTATCCACACAGGAGGAATATGGTAGCTTAGGCATGAATGCTCAGCGAGGGATTCTCCACCACTGTGGGTCCTGGTGCCCTCCTGGAGTAGTTCTATTTTACTCTGTTACCATGTTAAGGTAAGGGGGGGGGATTGGGCTTCCGTCCACCTCCACTCACCAGATGAAATGCAGAAGTAGTTTCTACTTCACACTGGTCTTCTGTGAGGTTGTGGTACGTACCAAACCGATTTGAGCCAGTCCATACATGCAACAGCAACTGCTGCCACGTGGCTCTACCACTATTGCACATTGAAGTTGAAGATGAGAGGGCATAGTATGAACATACTTAATGATTATTTCACCTTTAGTTAGTTTGTGTAATATCAAATAATGGAGTTAAATATTTTTATGAATTTGTTGTAAAGTATAATTGTTATGCTCTTACTAACAGTGTATTCCTTAACAATTTACCCATAAAAGAAAAATATTCTTTTCATAGAGAACTCTATTTATTATCTCTATCATATTTCTAGATGGCAAGCCATGGTTTACTGGTTGCATTTGATAAGTAAGGCAGCAGTAATATATTTAAACTATCCACTATTATTACTTCATATAATAATTATGGGCTTACCCAATAATCACAAGTATTAGGATATGGTGTTTTAGATAAACCTATCACAGCATTTCTAGAAGACTTCACAAAGAATACCAATGCACTACTTGTAATTTCATAAAAAACATTTTGGTGATCAGGCCATGTAGAAATTTCTGAAAAAGAAAGTGCTATATTGAACATAAAGCTAATAGCAAGTGAAAATAGAAAAAGGAAATTGCTATACCTAATATAATTAATAAAAAATGAAAGTGATAGTACTGCACACAGCCTACATAATCTCAGAAATAAGAGGCCCTGGCCTCTCCCCTATATCTAAGATTATTGTTGGAATTAATTTAATACACATTACAATATACAAAATATTACAGAAATATAACAAGCTTCCTTTAATTCAATGTATATTATTCTACTACTAATACTGATGATATAGAATGGTGACAAAGACTGCGGAGGCAGTCACTAGTAAAAATTATTTAAAAAAACTATACAAGTAAATCAATGATTGGGTTTTTCTCTAGAAATTATCAGTAGCAGCCTGGAGGCAAGATTTTGGTGGAACCCCATGCTCTGGAAAGCACGTAAAGCTGGTCGTGTCGGATTGCCGTCCCATCCAATTCCGATTCCGATAAATAAGTGCACATTGTAAAATATCTAGGATAATTGACAATCGAAAAGTAATATTTTTAGAAAGCTGGAAATTTTACCGACGGTATCTCCCATTTTATATGATTAACGATTGGAAGTTCCTTGTTTCATTACGTTATTACATGCATTTACAAGCAAAAAAAAAACTTTTAAATTTGTATTGTTTTCACAAAATAAGTTGTTATCCTTGGCACCATTTAAATATATACCTAATAATAATAACAATTTTCCGTATATACATATACACTTATCTATGATAATAGTCTATGCATGGGTGGCACCGTAGACATAGGTTTCTCTGCATAGACAGAGAAATTTTCTGTCTATACAGAGAACTGTATATTCTTGTACGGGTGGCACAGTACCACAGAATAAATAATAGTACAGTACGAAATTCGCATAGACGTAATTACGTAGACAGAGAATGAATTATATCATCATCATGATCATCATTACAGCCCTTCACAAGTCCGCTGCTGAACATAGGCCTCCCCCAAGTAATTACACAAAGCACGGTCCTGAGCCACCTGAATCCATCGACTTCCTGCATGTCTTACCAGGTCGTCACTCCATCTAGTGGGGTTCGCCCCACACTACGCCTACCGGTACGAGGCCGCCACTCGAGAACCTTTCTTCCCCATCGTTATCAGTTCTTCGAGTTACACGGCCGGCCCATTGCCACTTCAGCTTACTAATCCGTTGAGCTATGTCGGTCACTGTGGTTTTACTGCGGATATGCTCATTTCTGACTATATCACGCAGAGAAACTCCGACCATAGCCCTCTCCATAGCACGCTGAGCGACCTTGAGCGTCCTCATACGGCTAGCAGTGAAGGACCACGTCTCAGATCCGTAAGTCATCACTGGCAACACGCACTGGTTGTAAAATTTAGTTTTCGGACTTTGAGGTATATCTGACGAGAAGATGTGTCGTAATTTCCCAAACGCTGCCCAGCCGTGTTGAATCCGTCGATTGACCTCACGGTCGAAGTTGGACTTACCTAGTCGGACTATTTGTCCCAGGTAAACGTACTCGTCAACAACTTCGAGCAAAGTGCTCCCAACAACTACCGGCATAGGTGTGACATGGACATTAAACATGATCTTTGTTTTGTCCATGTTCATCGTAAGACCTATCCGTTGGGAGACACCATTGAGGTCATTGAGTATAGTGCTCAGGTCCTTCAGCGATTCTGCCATAAGGACTATATCGTCGGCAAATCGAAGGTGAGTGATGTACTCGCTATTGATGTTAATACCGTATCCTTTCCAGTCCAATAGGTTGAAAACGTCTTCCAATGTAGCGGTGAAGAGTTTCGGGTAAGAGTTTACACCTCTCTGCAGTTGGATAGGTTTCGAGCTCTGGTTCTGTACTCTGGATAACCATCGTAGCCCTACTGTACAAACACTTCAGCACTGCGATATACCGACAGTCAACTTGGCACCGCCCAAATTTCGACGGAATCAAAGGCTTTCTCACAGTCGCATAAGCCAGGTAAAGTGGCAGATTGTACTCTTCGGTCTTCTGTATAATCTGCCGCAGGGTATGTATGTGGTCTATGGTACTGAAGCCTTTTCGGAAACCAGCTTGTTCGGGAGGCTGGAAGTCGTCAAGTCTGCGTGCGAGACGATTCGTAATGACTCTCGAAAACTGCACGTAGACGCGGCTCAGTAGGGAAATCGGTCTGTAGTTCTTCAAGAGAGCGTTGTCGCCTTTCTTAAAGAAAGACCACCGTACTTCTGCTCCACGCCTCCTGAGTAGTGCCACCACGGAGGATGGAATTGAAGAGCTTCTGAAGGACTTTAAGTACCGGTGTTCCACCCGCTTTCAGAAGGTCCGCCGTAATTGCATCCTCGCCTGGGGCCCTGCCGTTTTTAAGGTGTTGGAGAGCCATTCTAATCTCGCTCAGACTGATGTCCGGGATATCGTAGGAATAGTGGCGGATAAGACTTGCTCTTGGATCATTACTCACACTTGCATGTAGCTCCAACGATGATGTGTACAACTGCCCATAGAACCTCTCAATCTCATTCAAAATCTCATCATCATCATCATCATCATCACAGCCCTTCACAAGTCCACTGCTGAACATAGGCCTCCCCCAAGTAATGCCACAAAGCACGGTCCTGAGCCACCTGCATCCATCGACTTCCTGCATATCTTACCAGGTCGTCACTCCATCTAGTGGGGGGTCGCCCTACACTACGCCTACCGGTACGAGGCTGCCACTCGAGAACCTTTCTTCCCCATCGGTTATCGGTTCTTCGAGCTATATGGCCGGCCCATTGCCACTTCAGCAGACTAATCCGTTGGGCTATGTCGGTCACTCTGGTTTTACTGCGGATATCCTCATTTCTGAGTCTATCACGCAGAGAAATTCCGAGCATAGCCCTCTCCATAGCTCGCTGAGCGACCTTGAGCGTCCTCATACGGCCAGCAGTGAAGGACCACGTCTCTGATCCGTAAGTCATCACTGGCAACACGCACTGGTTGTACACTTTAGTTTTCAGAGATTGAGGTATACCTGACGAGAAGATGTGTCGTAATTTCCCGAACGCTGCCCAACCGAGTTGAATCCGTCGATTGACCTCTCGGTCGAAGTTGGACTTACCTAGTCGGACTATTTGTCCCAGGTAAACGTACTCGTCAACAACTTCGAGCATAGTGCTCCCAACAACTACCGGCATAGGTGTGACATGGACATTAAACATGATCTTTGTTTTGTCCATGTTAATATTAAGACCCATCCGTTGGGAGGCACTATTGAGGTCATTGAGCATAGTGCTTAAGTCCTCCAGCGATTCTGCAATAAGGACTATATCGTCGGCAAATCGAAGGTGAGTGATGTACTCGCCATTGATGTTAATATCGTATCCTTTCCAGTCCAGTAGCTTGAAAACGTCTTCCAAAGCAGCGGTGAAGAGTTTCGAGGATATAACGTCACCCTGTCTTACACCTCTCTGCAGTTGGATAGGTTTCGAGCTCTGGTTCCGTACTCGGATAGCCATCGTAGCCCTACTGTACAAACACTTCAGCACTTCGATATACCGACAGTCAACTTGGCACCGCTGAAGGGACTGCAGCACCTCCCAAATTTCGACGGAATCAAAGGCTTTCTCATAGTCCACATACGCCAGGCAAAGTGGCAAATTGTACTCTTCAGTCTTCTGTACAATCTGCCGCAGGGTATGTATGTGGTCTATGGTACTGAAGCCTTTTCGGAAACCGGCTTGTTCGGGAGGCTGGAAGTCGTCGAGTCTGCGTGCGAGACGATTCGTAATTCGGAAATCGGTCTGTAGTTCTTCAAGAGAGCGTTGTCGCCTTTCTTAAAGAACAAGACCACCGCACTTCTGCTTCACGCCTCTGGAGTAGTGCCAACATGGAGGACGGAATTGAAGAGCTTCTGAAGGAGTTCAAGTACCGGTGTTCCACCCGCTTTCAGAAGCTCCGCTGTAATTCCATCCTCGCCTGGAGCCCTGCCGTTTTTAAGGTGCTGGAGAGCCATTCTAATCTCGCTTAGACTGACGTCCGGGATATCATCGGAATAGTGTCGGATAAGACTTGCTCTTGGATCGTTACTCACACTTGCGTGTGGCTCCAACGATGATGTGTACAGCTGCCCATAGAACCTCTCAATCACACTCAAAATCTCAGGTGTCCCGGAGACGATGCTGCCACACTCAGTCTTCAGCCTTGACAGTTGGCTCTTACGGGCAGACAGATCTCTGGCAAAGACTTTGGAGCCCTGGTTCCGCTCGATCGCTTCTTTAATACGAGCAGTATTAAAGTTGCGTAAGTCTCGCCGCATGCATTTGGAGATCTGTCTGTTCAGTTGCCTGTATGCTGTCAAATCTGTTGACGATTGCAGCCTCATCTCCCGTCTAACAGCCATGAGATTAAGAGTGTGATCGGAGAGTTTTTGTGTTCTTCTGCGGCGGGTCTTGCAGAACTTAGCTCCGACCGCATGGACAGTTTCCACGAGCTTGTCATTCATATCGTCCACTGCATTGCAACCTTGTAGGCACTGAAAGCGGTTGTGTAACATGCGGGTGTGTCGAAATCTCAGGTGTCCCGGAAACGATGCTGCCACACTCAGTCTTCAGCTTTGACAGTTGGCTCTTTCTGGCAGACAGATCTCTGGCAAAAACTTTGGAGAATTATATACGTCTATAGAAATTCGGTAGAATCCACTAGATAGTCTGTGGTTAACTTTCAGGTAGACAATTTCAATCTTAGGCCAGCCACACACTTGACGGAAATTTCGACGCGGATCTTTCCCAACGGAACGACAATATATTTTTTTTTATTATAGGATAGGATGACAAACGACCACACAGTCCACCTGATGGTAAGTGGTTGCTGTGGCCCATAGGCTATCCTCGATTACGAATCAAAATGCAGATGCGTTGTCATCCGTGAGGACTTAGGTGGAATGCCTCGTTTCCAGTAAAAACGGTCTCCGGTTCTCTGCACTCACCATACGAAACACAGCAGCATTAAGCTACTATTACAGTTATGTAATGTAGGTAGATCAGAAGTTAACAATTCGTCGTTGTATTTCAAACCGTCCCGTCTCCGTACAAAGTTGTGAAGAACACATGTTTTTACTATATCTGTAGCAAAATCGGGATCAGTAAGCATGGCCGTATGAAGAACTCTTCACTTGTTGGTCAATATACCGGTACATTCCACATACCGCCATGCCCGAGATAGTAGGCGGTATATAAACGTACGTTTTTCTGTGTCTAATTGGTTATGCGGAAACGATACGTGTATTTTAATTTTGTTCGAGGGTATATTTGCCAAGTGTTTATCCATCCTTTGACCTAATGTCCGCTCCGTATACACTGAAAGAGGAAAGGGGACAGTCTAGAAGATGACGCGATTCTTTCGACCAATGAGACGCGCGCCCGACCGAGGTGCTTTGGTGGGAAAGCCGAGGCAATAAAGGCTCGCGCGCGGCCCTCGAGCGGCCTCTTCCTTCGTACCACTGGCCTGGATCGCATCTCTGGGGCGCCCCAGAAGAACCACCTCACGTCGCATCACCGCAACGGAAGCGTCGTCCGCCGCATCA